CTTGAATAGTCCTAAATATTACATCTCATATATCTATTTATGCTTGCAGATGATGAGCATAATTACCAAAAATGCTAAGGAAATCCCTGATGGTATGAGAAAAAGCTTGAGTCGAGACTTTTTCCTGTTACCTACAAAAACAATTATTGTTGTACTCGACACTTTGGCAGAAGAACTTGAGACTGCAACAGATGAAAGAATTGATGAAATCCTGCAGGTATGTGACTTCCTACTAGATACAGATACAGTGCCTCAAAATGTAATTTGAAGACCACTGTCATTTAGAATAGAATGAGACAAATTCCAACTCCATAGACAAGAAATAAAGTCCTAAGTAAGTACGGGATATTAAAAGAAAAGGGAAGGGTTTGCCTCTGATGATGCAGTATACCAAATAAACTTTTGCATTTATATGTGCAGAGAGAGAGAGAGTGAGTGAATAAGTGAGTAACAGCAAACCACAAAAGAAACAGGTGAAATATGCTATTTTTGGAGTGGTGCAGGGAAGGAGATAAATCGCTTTAAGGATAAGGAGAAATGGATGTTTATGTAGTGATGTATATGCCATACATTTCGAGAATTCTTGTTTTGTGCTTGCTGCATTCATTATTCACTTAGAAGAGAAGCCAAGAGCTGCTTGTATGATTGATAGAAAGAGAGGAAAAGAGATACTTCCTCACAGCTGGCTAATGAATGGGTGTACTTAGTTGAGCTTAGTTAAGCTATTTTGGATCAAGTACCTAAATTCCTAATACATTTGAGTATCATTGTGCAGTCATGGTTGAATTTCCATTTTGATTTACAGATATTTTGAATATTTTTGCAGATGTTGGAAGATTTCAAGAACAACAGAAGTTCAGAAAAGTGGGCAGTTGGGAGTAAGGATGTTCGCTTGACTGCGTTGATTGACGCTTACAGAGGCCTTGTGCTTTATTCTCGCTGGAAAAATTGCACTTACGCCAATCAAGACTCCTCTACAGTGCAAGATAAAAGTGCAGCCATTTCAGAAGATTTTTCAGATGAAGGTGATTCATTATTTCTTCCTTCCTTTCTTCCGTAAAGCCTTAATTCCCTCTTTCCTTCCTTTTCTTCCTTCCTTTCCTAATTCCTTCTTCTTTTGTAATTTGTTTTGACCCATTAACATTTGTTACATAAACAGTCCGCTGTGGTTATGCTTTGCTAATTTTGTTTATGTACACTGCTTGACAAGCGCTCAGTCACGCAGTTACTTGTTAGTCTTACATGATCTTACCTTGTTACCACATTCCTTGAATAGATATATATATATATATATTATTATCATTAATGTAAAAAGTCAGTTAAAGAATAGTCAATCAGGTTGAATTTTGAAGGTGTAGGCCAGTGGTTTCATTTGTTGCTTGTAGAATTAGCTCTAACTGAAACGTTAGTTAATAGTTCAGTGCTAATAGATTTCCAGTATGCTTAATATTTGGAGATTACCACATTTTAGGAAGCTAAGTGTAAATCATTGTGTTATTATCTCAAAACAAGAGGTTTCAGGTACTTGATATCAGTTATCCATAAGTCAAATAATATCAGTGAAGTATTGAGTAGGCACAATGCAAATAGAGTTAATGAATATACTGGAGATATATAGTGTGATATATATATTTTACATAATGTGTAGTATAGTTAATAGAATATGTTAGTGCAATAGATGTTTGGAACAATGATATTAAGCATCAAATATTTACATTTAACAAGATATTTATCAAAAAGACTTAGGATATGTATTTTACTTGTACTCTTTGATAAGGAGGGTATATAAGTAAACTATTTTTCTGTTGTAGTTTTTTAAGATATATGCAAAAGTACTTTACTTAAGGGTAATAGAATATTAATAGTTAATGAAGACAGTAGAAGCCAGTTCTGTAGAAAAAGACCAATCATTTTAATTTTTATGAAGTGCCTTTTGTACTTTATCTTCCCGGCTGCCAGTTGATTGATGTCAAATATCCAGTTTTTGGTGAAGTGCTGTTTATTCTCTTTTAATACTAAATTCACAGAATATGATTTCCACTTTATTAACTTATCACAAATTTCGCAGAATAAGATTTCCACTTCTGAACTATCTAAAATCCACATCCAGATACCAGTTCTTTTCTTCTAACTTAGACACTTTCTTTGTATAGTAGTTTTTCATTAAGATTTTATATTTAACTTGCAGAGAATGAAGAGGGAAGCAAAGACACCAACAAAAGATTGGTTACCGAAGCACATTCAGCACTGAGGAGAGCTTTATGTAATCTTGCCGAGCCAGTAAGTATATTTTGGAAGGAATTTGATTTACTTGCTATATGCATTAGTTCTGTTGTGGTAGCGCATATTCAAAGTCAGATAAAAGTTCTATGGCTATGATTTTTAACGCATTTTGTAGATAAGCTTATTGTTGTAAATCAGATACATATCATATCCAGGATGGAATGAAGGCCTTGAATTTATCAAAGCAAACATTTCACAGATATTCAGCAAATATATGGTTGGTGTCCTTCTTTTGGAGAGTGACTTCCAGGTTAAAGCGTGTTGAGACCTTGTATTATATTTCGTACCTGATCTCGGTGTTATGAAATATTAAATTTGAAAGGGGGTGGTGTGTGTGTGTGTGTGTGTGTGTGTGTGTGTGTGTGTGTGTGTGTGTGTGTGTGTGTGTGTGTGTGTGTGTGTGTGTGTGCATGTGCATGTGCATGTGTGTACAACCATAAAAAAGGCATTAGAATATGTATATATGTAGTAAAAAGACAACAGTCAGCTGAAAGTTAGAGAAAAAGAAAGAGAGTGTAAGTGTGTGTGTGTGTGTGTGTGTGTGTGATTTTTTTTTTCTCATTAGAAGATTCATGTATGCTCAGGTCACAGTCCTTTTGATGGCGGATGAAAAGGTCAGTTTCAGAGTTCTTTGTTTTTGACCTTATAACCACTTTTTTAGATTGGTATTTTGACCTTTAGAGAGGTCTAGTCACAGTATTTGCTCTGTTTATAGACTGAAAATTATAGTTTGTTTAATAAGAATATATTTTTTCCTGGCTCATTTGGTAGGTTGCGCGTAACATTGGCACCTAACAGCTTATATTTTGATATCATTAAAAATTATATTAGAAATGTGAAGGATTACCCTCACTTTAGTTGCTTTTGCCTAAAAGTTTCACCATACAAATGATGCCACGAGCATCAGAGAAAAACAAGCTCTGTCTGATGGGCCGACAACACGGGAATGGTCATGATGAGATGCCACCTGCTACTTGGTCCACAACAGCCATGGCATGTACGTGCATGTCACCTGGTTGGAAGGGGTTGAAATACCTACAAAACTGTGGGAAGTTGGAGCAGTCAGCGGTATACTTAACTCTAGCATTTTGTTGTATGTTCACTGCACAAATAACCATTAGCTTTATGAATCTCAACCTCCTTTTTCTCTTTCTCAGGTAGAGTGGATCATAGTACCTTACTTGGACTTGGAGAATGAACTGCGTGGTCCGGAGTCGGCACTCTCCGTACTTCAGGATTATGTCAGCAAGAACCTTCAACATTTACCAGCTCAACACTTAGTTTATAATTTTCTAAGAACTTTTGTGCCTAACAGTGATGAGACTCAGATGTCTGCACTGAAGGTATGTTTTATTGGATGTTTGCAGTTTAATTTTGCATAAACAGTACAAAGTTTCCAGTTGTCTGTTATTTGTCTGTCTCCATACTTTCTTCTTCTTCTTTTGCCATTTTAGGGTTTATTTTTATAAGACAGCATCTTAAAACTAAAGTTATTTAACCCATTCGTTCCGGGTGTCACATATATGAGACACCGGAAATAATAAACATTGCCGGGTGTCCCGCCAGTGTGACGCTGTATCGGGGCTGCGCTCCGACACAGCAGCGGCGCGTGGCCGGGCGGGCGAACAGACTCCGGGGAAGCTCCGACTGCCGAATTTTGTAGCCGCCCGGATTTTTTTATTTTGGCTACAAAATGTACCCGGCGTGAGTGGTTTAATTGCATGATAGGATAAAGAAGGTATACTCTCTCTCGCTCTCTCCTTCTCCCTTTCCTTCTTTCCCTCTTTTCCTCTTTCCCTTGATCCCATCCTACCTCTCTATCTATCTATTTACCTATCTGTCTTTCTATCTATCCGTCATTCTTTCTCCCTATCTGCCAATTAATTTTCTTTCTTTCTTTTTTTACAGGAGATAACCAGAGTTTGCCCAGAACACCCTCTTGCGTTGGAATACGTGAATAGACTTCTGGTCGAAGGTAATTACGCTTAAATGTTTTGTTAAACCATTGTACTCGCAGCAGCTTAGGTATTTGGCACATCATTAGCACCCTGCAGATTCTTTTTTTTTTTCTTTCTTTCTTTCTTTCTTTTTTCTTTTTTCTTTTTTGTTATACATTATAGGTTTTTATTGAAGGTTTGGAATCTTTGCGTTGTTATATGTAATTTTGTTTGGTTATTTGTAAGTAGTTTTAAGGATATTACCCTCGTCTTTTGAGTGGCTGAGACCCCCTTTTTTGGTTGCTGTTGTTAGTATGTGAAACAACCCTTTTTTTCTTTTCTATTCTTTTTTTTTTCTTTCTTTCTTTCTTTTTGAACTTTAGATATTGTTGAAAGTGTGGTTCTTGAGATGTATTTTTTTCCTTTTTTGGTTATTTCTCTTTATTTTTATTTTTTATTTTTTTTCTTTCTTTCTTTTTTTTTTCATAGAACATTTAAATTGGACTTATGAACACAGTGCCAGTTAGAAAGATACATAGGTACTGATATTGGATGACCGAACGTACCCGCAAAAATGAGTAGATAGTCTCCGTACATAATGCAAATTTAAAAAGAGGAAGATTTATGATTGTGACTTTAGGTTTTAGATTACGTCTTGGAAAACCATGAAGGGAATGACTATTTCTGAGTAATTTAAGGCGGCATTGGGAGCGAAATCAATTATTAAAAGAAATGTTGGATATTTTCTAATTGCATTGTGTCATACATTTGTGTATCTTTTGATACTTTACATCCTTCTCTCTCTCTCTCTCTCTCTCTCTCTCTCTCTCTCTCTCTCTCTCTCTCTCTCTCTCTCTCTCTCTCTCTCTCTCTCTCTCTCTCTCTCTCTCTCTCTCTCTCTCTCTCTCTCTCTCCTCTCTCTCTCTCTCTCTCTCTCTATCTCTCTCTCTCTCTCTCTCTCTCTCTCTCTCTCTCTCTCTCTCTCTCTCTCTCTCTCTCTCTCTCTCTCTCTCTCTCTCTCTCTCTCTCTCTCTCTCTCCTCTCTCTCTCTCTCTCTCTCTCTCTCTCTCTCTCTCTCTCTCTCTCTCTCTCTCTCTCTCTCTCTCTCTCTCTCTCTCTCTCTCTCTCTCTCTCTCTCTCTCTCTCTCTCTCTCTCTCTCTCTCTCTCTCTCTCTCTCTCTCTCTCTCTCTCTCTCTCTCTCTCTCTCTCTCTCTCTCTCTCTCTCTCTCTCTCTCTCTCTCTCTCCTCTCTCTCTCTCTCTCTCTCTCTCTCTCTCTCTCTCTCTCTCTCTCTCTCTCTCTCTCTCTCTCTCTCTCTCTCTCTCTCTCTCTCTCTCTCTCTCTCTCTCTCTCTCTCTCTCTCTCTCTCTCTCTCTCTCTCTCTCTCTCTCTCTCTCTCTCTCTCTCTCTCTCTCTTCTCTCTCTCTCTCTCTCTCTCTCTCTCTCTCTCTCTCTCTCTCTCTCTCTCTCTCTCTCTCTCTCTCTCTCTCTCTCTCTCTCTCTCTCTCTCTCTCTCTCTCTCTCTCTCTCTCTCTCTCTCTCTCTCTCTCTCTCTCTCTCCTCTCTCTCTTCTGCCTCTCTCTTTTTCTCTCACTTTCCCTCTCCTTGTGTGTGACATGAAACAAACAATTTGCCATACTAAGTCATAAACCACCTTTTTTCAGCTTGTGATGAACAAGTATGGAAGCGAACGGAAACAGCCGTTGATAGTGATGAGATAGAGAGCAAGGTGTCTGGGAATGAGAGCAGTGATGCAGAGACAGAATCACAAAGTTGTGGCTTGAAATCAGGTAAATATCTCTTATCATTGTTATTATTATATTATTATTATTATTATTAATTTTGTTGTTGTTGTTGTTGCTATTATTTATAGTATTACTCTTATTATTATCATCATCATCATCATCATAATCGGCACCATCATTAGGGTAGGAAATTCACAATGGCAACAACGGCAATTGCAGTTGTGCCCTTTCAAATTGCCACAATGCCCACAGATTTGGGGGATTTTTATGGCATTTTTATGACATTATTGTGTTGTGGTTAATGTTTATGTGTATCATTTTGTCTTTTTTTTTCAGCGCATGAGTCAGTGTTTAACCCTTACTGTAGCTGGCTTCTCAAGCACTTAGTCACCAGGGAGTCAATTATTAGGCCTGTGTGACCTCACCTGATTTTCCCTTGAGTTTTCAAGTTGTTTTCTTTCTTTCTTTCTTTTCTTTTTGTAATGCTGTTTAATATCAGTACAGTTATTCTTATTACTGACATTATGATTATTTTAAAGTTATTAAGAATACTAATAGCAATAAAAAATAAGAATAAATCATTCTGAAAATCAAGGAAAAGGATAAACAGATGAGATGGGACTAGTAATCGACTCCTTGGTGACTGAAGTACTTAGGGATCCATCTATCTGTAGGCATAATTGGTAAACTAGAATCACAGTGGACATAGCATGTACATATGTGCCATGGCTGGTATTAATGGGTTAAGATTCTTTTTTTTTCTCAGATTCATTACAGTTTGTGTATAATTTTCTTTCTCTTGCAGATATACAAGTGGAATCACTGGTAAGGGCTCTGAACCTTTTGACAAACTTGCTTGAGTACAAAGAGTGGCGGTGGAAACTGCAACCATGGCAGACTCTCACACACCTTCTACGTAAATTTTATTCATCCTGGATAAGGTTTGTTTTGTGTTATGCAAAACTGTTTTGGGTTGAAAATTTTAGGATCTGCATATATATTATAATGCTAAAAAGGAATTTTAGAAATAACTTGCTTACCTCTCTTTTCCCTTGAACTTGCAGATGCTGGAAGTGTCAATATTGCCGTAAAAGTCGAAAATCAGTGAGACAAGTTTCTAAAAGAGTAACACCTTTGTGGAAATATTATGTTTGGGTGACTGTTCCCGTCTCCCTTCACCCAGAAAAAGCACAGGTCATCTTTCACCATGTGTATTCTGCCCATGTATTTTGTTACAGTAAGTAAATATTATATATTGGTTTGTTTAGACATTTGATAAGAATGCATGCTATTATTCCTTTAAATTAGAATGAGAGGTTATTTCTCAGAGATTTTAGAATATATAGATAATCAGCTTTCAGTTTTACTTGATTTAATGACTAAAGGAAAGAGGGAGATGAAATGGATTTTTATTAATATGTAGTATTCTGTTACAATGATTAAAATGTCATGATATTGCAAGAATGCTCATACAATTTAAAGGCCTACAGTATATATATCTCATATGAATATCTTATACACTAAGTAGGCTAAGTATAAGACTTTAACTTTTCTATGTAAGAATTTTCCCTTTCTCTTTGATGGACTCTTAGGCCCGTACTTTTAAAACCTTTCGCCAGGGCTGGCGAAAGGTTTCGCCGGGCGATCCAGAATTTCGTACTTTTAAAATCATGCCTGGCGAACGTTCGCCAGGGCTGGCGAAAGATCATATTGGAACAGCCTGGCGAAGAGAGCTGTTTGAATACCATTTTCTTGCTTTCAAATTATAAATTAGTAACATATTTGTGTATGATAGGATGTAGGAATCACATTGAAATTATAAAATATCTTAAAATCATAATTTGTTATGAAATAACGTATATACGTATTTTTTTCAAGACCTTCGATGTTCCAGTCGAGAGCTCAAGACATCAACTGTATTCCTACCCTCCTACCCCAACCCCCCACCCCCGAGATGACTTATTTAGATTTAGGTTGTTGTTATTTTGGTTGTAAGGATAATGTTCTTTTCACAAATATTACCAGAAGTGTTTTTTATGGCGGCATGTTTACTTTTGGCTATAGTGCTCCATCGCCCTATAATGAGGTGTCTTTAATGATACCCTTGTAGGCCTACAGTTCAATATCTTACATCAGTTAGGAGTAGTAAAATAGTAATTTTTAAACTCGATTGTTAAAGTATAAAGTTATTTTTTGTATAAAAGTATAAGGTTGATATAGTATAGTATAAAGTACTTTTAAAATCTTTCGCCAATGCTGGCGTTCACCTTACTTTTAAACTAAGGCAGGTGTTCGCCAGGCCTGGCGAACGAAAGGGATCGCCAGGCGCTAACATCTTTGATTCCTGATAAATCTAGCGCTTCGGCGAATGAAAAAATAACGCGAGAATAAGCAAAAGGTTTTAAAAGTACGGGCCATAAAGTTAACCTTGTTATAGTATGAAGTGCAGTATAGCATAAACTATAAAGTTAATTTTGTTATAGTATAAAGATATTTTCAACTTCTTTGTTATAGCATAAAGTTAAATTTTAACTCCTTTGTTATAATATAAAGTGAGACTATTGCGGAAGCAACATTTTCGTCTTCTCTCGAGGTTAATAATTAAGTTTAGGTTATGTTATGTGCACTGCAGATGTAAACAAATTTGCGCTAGATTTAGCGGGAATGCAAGATGTTAGCGCCTGGCGAACATTGGGTTTAAAAGTAAGGCCTCCCTCACTCAAAGGTTCGCCTGGCGAAGCTTCGCCAGGTGAACGCCAGCACTGGCGAAGGTTTTAAAAGTACGGGCCTAAGGATTAATATTTTTAAATAAAAATGTAAATAACCCTCTTTAGAGACAAATAAGTTTATGTAGAATATACATATATAAGCCCAACAGTTTTATTCCTCTTATACAATGACTTGTCTTTGGATTGACTAATTAAACTTTCTGAATACATGCAAAGTTGCAGACATTTTCTACCAAATCAGTATTTTAATGTTCAAAGAAAAAAAAGTTGTGTGTAAGTGAAATAATGATGATAATAAGAATAAGAATAAATTAAACAATCAAATTCCTTATGAAAAAGTTATTGTAATATCTGATTATGTAGTGAGTTGGTAAAGTTTTGTTTGCTACAGTACCACAGAGCATTCATTAAATCATTTTCTTCTACATTGTTTTAGTGAAATTAGTCTAATTCTAAGGATGAATATTTGTTTTCTTTTTTCTTTTTTCTTTTTTTTCCAGATCAAATTTATGTTCTTGATGCCATAGCAACTCTCAAGAAAGCCAACTACAAAGTGTTATCTAAAGAATTGAAGGAGTCATTATATCAACAAAAACCTTATTTAGAAAAGTTCTTGGCTTACAGTCTGAAGAAATCAGAGTAAGTACCAGTTTTGCTCACTTAACTTTACGTTCATTGTGTGTTTCTAAGTTTGCCATAGCAAGTCAAGCCCAAATGCAGGTTGGCAAAGACATGCACCATTCATGTTAAGTAAGCTCTTTGAGTTGTACCCCCTAAACAGACCACTTCTTTGGCTCTGTGTGTGGCTGCTCTTTAGCTACAGCCTCCACAGATGTGAGGTGTAACTCCAAGGCTTGGTCGAATTCAGCAGGAGGAAAGCCCATCAACATTGGGCTAAAGACCACCTTAAAAGATGAGATTTGGACCTAGCTTTTCCAGAAGTTACAATTATATAGAGTAATTGTAGTTTCTGTTTCTCCATTTGCCATACTGCATTTTTGCTACAAGCTATTTTTTTTTTGGGGGGGGGGACATATGATTTCTTAGTTAGGGTTCTAACTTAAGATATTCCCAGTGACATTTTGTAGTTCATTATGGTGATAAGTAAAATATAGTCTAAAATGAATGGTCTTTTTTCTTCTTCTTTTTGTAAAAGGGATTTCTTTTCATGTATCTTTTAATCAATAGCATTAACTTTGTTTCGTAAATACACATACACACTGCATACACACATACAGACATGGATAGTTATACATGCATTCTTTTGAAGATTTCAGACATCTCTTGGCAGTGTGGAGGTCAGCTCTCCAACAAAAACGGAAGAAAAAGAAGTGGAGGTCAGCTCTCCAGCGAAAACGGGAGAAAAGGAAGCCAGCACACGGAAGAGAAAGGCCAAGAAGAAAGCATTATATGATGTGCAACTTTCTGAAGATAAACTGCAACCCACAGTAAAGACAGGTAAAGACAATAAGAAGAGTCAACAGAAAGGACACTCCGGGGAACCTGCAGAACTCAGTGGTGTGAAGGAGAAAAAATCTACCATTGCCAGCAAAGTAACACCTCTCACTACTCCACTTACAAGGAATACGAAGCCTATTCGTAATCGTAAGCTATCCTTAGATGAAGAAGAAAGAGAAACTAGTTTCTTGAGCTCTGACATCTCATTTCACGAAGATTTTCTTTTAACCAGTACTCAGGTAAGACCTGGAAATAAACAGATATTAGATAATTCACTCGGAGAAAGTCCTGCATTGCAACCAACCCTTAAGGAGAGAGACATGTTACGGGGGAAGGAGAAAAATAAACTGAAGTTGTTAAAGGCAAAAGAGAAACACAGAACTGTAGAAGAAAAACAGAAGGACTTTGATATAAGTAGTGAAGATCCTGATGATTGTGTTAAGGAAGAAAGGTCTGATTTGAATAATGACACTGCAGTTTCTAAGTTGAATTGTTCTTCTGCTGAGGAGTATGTTACTGTCAATGAAGTCACTGAAGAAGCAACAAATATAACTTGTAATTCTAATGCAAAAAACTCAACTACATTTAAGAGGAAAAGTATCAGTTCCTCACTGAACACAACATATACTTTAGAAAGTTCCATGACAAGTATGGCTAGTAAAAGTGAATTCAGTTTGCAAGTAAAAACCCCATGTAGAAATAAGAAAAGTTCTACAGATGTATCCAGTACTAACATTGTTGAAGAGACACAGGAAAAGACAGCAGAGTGTTCAAGTTCAGAGCCTGAGGATCACTTACCTTGTGGTCAAAGGCCAAGAGAGAACAGGTCCAGCGGATACAAAGGTGGGAGTTCCGAAGGACAGAATGAAAGTCCTCTGGTCAATGAAGGAAATGATAGTGTATATTTTTGTTATACTGCCCTCCCAACACACATTAACCCTGATGAATTTGTGATGGACAGCCAGACTGCTTCTGAGCAAAACAACTGTCTTGTTGAGGAAACTTTAACTGAAACAAACAGCAATCCACTTGATATCTGTGAAGGGAAATGCGTAATTCAAGAAACCCAAAGCCAAGAAACATACTCCCATTCTCTTGTAGGATCAACATCAGAGGTAACAGATGTAACTAATGCAAACGGGTGGGGCCTAAGTGCTGGAAAGAATTATTTTAAAGTGGAATGTGAGGATACTGGCACACAAGATAGTGAAGACAGTGTCCCTTTCTCCCTGACTCAGGGACAGCAGGAACCCATGCCTTTCAGCCAAAATGCCCAAGAGCTTGTTTCCTCAGCAGATGTTACAGATACCACAGACTTCACATTTTGTAAAACTGAACTAAAATCGCCATTTTCAGAAAAAGAATATAAAGACTTTGAGGTACAGTATGAGGATATTGAACAAGAGCCGGCCTCTCCAAGTACATTAGAAGTAGGTAATCCTGTAAAACAAGAATCTGTTACAGTTGGCAATCCTACATCTATTGTTCAGGGTGCTGTAGTCGAGTTTAGTGACATTGACAATGACAAGTTTGCGTCTCCTAAATGTGCTGTGCAGGAAATTATTCATTCAAATTGTCTTGATACACCCACAGCAGTGTCTTCTCATGAGGAAACTAGTGACAGTGAAGAAGCAATAGGGCCAAGTCAAGAATTAGTTGTAACTAGTCCACCAAATTTTAAAAGCTTTAATAAATCAAGTCGAAGTTGTGGCAGTGCATCAGGTGGCAGTTTTGTGTCTAATACAAGTGGTGAAAGTGAGCAAGAGCAGACATCTCTTAGTATATATAGTTCACTAACAGCTCTGCAAGACTATTCAGGCACTTGTGCACAATCAGAACAAATGTGCAAAAAAAATAAAGAAAAGGAGACTTTAGAGGTACTACCATTAAATGCATCAAAAGGCTCAATACAGGAAGAAATGGAATATGCATCACTGGCTTGCAAGGAGAATAAGGGAAGCGGTCATGGTAAAGGATTGAGTGATATGCATCCTTCGCTGACCCAAAAACAAAGAGAGAATGTTACAGTTCATAATATGAGCACTGTATCTAACATCACATTGGTGGCCAACAATAAAGAACATGAAATACTAGATGCTATATGTGAAAGACCTGCAAAAAGTGAACAGCTTTCAGATGCATCATTTGTCACTGCAGAATCTGCAGGAGACAGATTGTCCAGTGAATCTCTTCTGAGTGTTGATGCAAATGAAGATTCTGAATCACCGGGATGGAAGAAGACCAGCATACAGAGTTCCAATACTTCCAAATTACGGAAAGATATTAGTAATTCAGATCTGTTACCAGAAAATTCCTCTGTGGCAGGAACCACAGCAGTTCTGGACATAAGTGAGCAGAATGCCAAGAAAAATAAAGATAAAGACAAAACCACAGAAAATGGTGATGCATCTACAACAGTTGTTGCACACAAAAATCAAAGGATGGACTCGGTGACAAGTGAGGTAGGAAATACAGATGTTGATTCATTTGCAACAGCTCTCGATGAAAGTCAGAAAGGTAATCATGGTAAGCAAAGGAAAAAAGCTGGTGCATTGGAAGGTTTGAAAGATGCAGATAGTGAGTTAGTTATAAAAGGTGTAGAAATATTCAAATCTAAAAAGAAGAAAAAGGAAAAGAAAGCAGAAATCACAATATCACCATCAGTGCAGGTAGATGACATTCCAAATTCAGATGGAGTTGATGGTAGTGCGTATGAAACATCAAAGAAAAGCAAACAAAGAAAGGAAAAAAAGAGGAAAGAAAGGTCAGTAGATAAAGACAGTGAAAAGACAGAGGAAACAAACTTGGTGTCCCACAGCTCCAAATCAAAGAACAAACATAAAAGTGACATAAGAGAGACTGAGAATGAAGAAACCTGTGATCAGTATTGGATAGATTTATGTAGTGACCTTCCTTTCCCAGACCTTGGAAATGAGAATGGTGTCCTTGTTTCAGAGACCAGTTCTTCAAAGTCAAAGTCCCATAGCAAAAAAACAAAAAATGCATCCTCAAAGGCTTCTATACTGAAGTGCTCGTTAATAGATTCTGAACTGGAAATTCCTGATCTTGACAGTCTGGTATCTAAAGAATCTATCAAGGAAAGAATAGATGGGAGTAAGAGCTCTAAGAAGAAGAAAAAGGAACAGAAAGAAAGGGATGACTCAGAGGATCAAAAGAATAGAAAAAAGTTCCCTGAAATTGAAGAAGAAACCAGGGAAATTAAAAGTCTAGATGTCTCTGAAGACCAAGAAAAGAAAAGATCCAAAAAGAAGAAACTTCAAATGCATCCTGTTCAAGAAATGCCTGAGGTTGATGATCTTGATATTGTAGTTGATAAAAAACACAAATCCACCAACAATATGGGACAAAAAGTTGATGATGGCTTGTCACTTCCCATAAAACGAGAAAAGAAAAAGCACAAAAAGGAAAAAGATAACTTCATTACATGTGATCTGTTACCCTTCCCTGATATTGAAATTGAAGGGTGCTCCATCTCGAGAGCAGAAAATGAGACATGTATTACTAAATCTGAGGAAGGAATTGTCTCACAGAAAAAGAAAAGAAAAAATAAAGATATTGACAGCAATTTACTTAACACAAAGAGTAAAAAGAAAAAGTCAAAACATCAAGTAGGGGACATGTCTTTGGAAACAAGTACCAACAAAGACATTAAAATGTGCAATGGAAATGCAACTGTCATAGCAACACTAGATGTTCCTCAGGTAAATGGTCACCATGACTGCTCAGACTTGGTCAAAAAGAAAAAAAACAAGAAGAATAAATCTAAAGCAACAGTAAATGAATTGCCGACAGGTGTTGATGGCGAAAGTGTTTTAGACCTTGAAAATGAAAATGATGAACATGCAAAAAGGGACACAGAAAAGAAAAACAAAAAAAGACAGAGAGAGGATGTTACAAGTGAGAATAAAGGAAAAAGCAATCCGGAAAACACCAAGAAAACGGAACATTATACACCAGCAGAAAATGGAGGTGAAAGTCCGAAGAAAAGAATGAAAAGAGATAAGGACGCATCTCTCAGTAAAAAGGAAGAGCAGAAAGAAAGTACTTCCAAAAATAAAGTCCAGGGGGAAGTGAGAAAAACGAACAATAAAAAAGGTTATATGACCCCACCATGGAACAAACCTGTGAAACTACATGCCAAATTCCACAGACTTTATACTGAAAATGATGATCTTTTATAAAATGTCTTCCTGCTTTTTCTTGCTCTCCCTCTTCCTCCATTTCTTCATTCTTCTCCTTCAACAAGTGATTTATGTGATACTTAGATTTTACATGTTACCAGATGACCTTATAATGTATAGAGATGATTACCCCTACATGCCTGTTAACATGTTATTAAGCATTTGTCAGTATGTAGAATTTGTACCTCATTTCAAGTGATTGTTGAATTGATGATAACTATTTAGAAGTTTTAAAATAATTTCATAATTTTTTCTGTATTGTTGTTGTTAGTCAATCAAGTGTATATTTAAGTTTAGTAAGAGTGTTATTCTCTAAGTAAACATGCATTCCTTTATTAGACTGACTGTAATCAACCTTTAAGTTATTTATCAAGAATCAACAATGAAAAGTAGGTTTCTGTTCAATAAAGATTTTAAAATAAAGTATAATTTTCTTTTTATTTTCCAAAAACATTCTTAAATTCTATTTTATCTTAGCATTATTATTATTATTTTTGTATTGGGAGGATTCAAGACAGATAGGCAGACAGACAGACAGATGGGTAGATAGACAGACTGAGACAGATGAAGAGAGATAAAGGGGGGGGGGATAATATATTGTATTTATAAATACAGATATCAGTTAATAAAGGTGTGAAAGTGTAGAACCTTCCTGAATCAGTTCATTTATAAAGGCCTAATTAAATAAAGACTGTCCTTTCACAAAGTCAAGCACTGATCAACTATAAGACTTAATCATCTGATAAGGGGGTTCCAGCTGAGGAAAATAAAAGGAAAATCCTGAAGATTTATTGGTGCTTTTTTACATTCTTTCTTTTTCTTTTATAAAAAGAATATTGATAACAGGATATATTCATTTCCTCAACTTCTCTCTCTCTCTCTCTCTCCTTCCTCCCCTTCCTCCCCCCTCTCTCTCTCTCTCCTTCCCTCCCTTCCTCCCCCTCTCTCTCCCTTCCCTTCCTCTCTCTCTCTCTCCCTCCCTCCTTCCTCCCACCTCTCTCTCTCTCCTTCGCCCCCTCTCTCTCTCTCCTTCCCTCCCTTCCTCCCCCCCTCTCTCTCTCTCCTTCCTTCCCTCCCTATCTTGCCCTAAATAAGGAGTGCTTTATCAAGAGACCATTCATAATGAAACTGGAAAGATGTAAAGAAATTAGGATTGAGTGTTAGTCACATCCTGTAGTACTACTCCCTCCAGTCTCACTGTATGGAAGAACAAAGTTAAAAGTCTGTTAGGGCAATGCAAATGTAGGCCTATTAAAAGTTCTACAGTAAACTTATGGTTAGCTAGAGCACAGGTAATGCAATACACTCTAAAGCCATTTTTTCTTGACCAATAACTTCTTCCACACAATTTCCTTTAAGACAGTGAAGAAAAGGCTACACGATTTAGAGATGGTGTTTAATAAAAGAGGTATGCATATGATTTTTTTTCTAATTTTACAATTAAAAAGTTAAAAATGAATCATAAAATGTAAAACCTAGTTAAAAATTATATTGCATAAACATTATTGCATTCTTAAAGTGAATTATATTAACCCATAATTGTTTATTTGTAAGAGAACGAATTTTTTTAAAATTCTTATTTTCCCATTACTACTTGTATATTTCACCAACTTTTTAGATCTTGATATATATTTACATACAAGACAACTATTTATAAAATAATTCAAAGTATCTGTCCATCAACAAAATGAAAAATCCAATGCATATCTATTCAAAGCTGTTTGAGCAAGAATTAGGCAAGTATCTAAAACTGGTTGAAATTTCCAATATTGTTCAACTAAGAACAGGAATTAAAATGAAGAGAATTTAGTTTCCTTCTTAATATTCATTGATGTACATCAAATTCAGGAACCAAATTGAACATAATTTGATTGGATTACAATAAACACTTTAATAGAATTTTAACCATTTTATAATAATTAGCAAACTCCCAACGTGATTGTAAACTGTAATCACCAGTATCCAGGAAAAACATTTGGAAGATTTGACTCCTCTAGGAAGCATAAAACTGGTGGGCCCTTCGTCTTACAGGTTGTTCAATCAGGTTACATGGATTAAGTATGTTTAAGAACATGCCAAATTAACAAATTCAGTCTACTACTTTTTGAAGGTAAATGATATACCATAAAATTGTCTTAAATTTTATACATGTGAAACTTCATGGCATAAAACACAGCATGTGATATAATGTAAAACACAATTTACAAAAATATAAATTTCTATCGAGAAGATAGACCTTTGAAATAAATAATTTATAAAACATCCTAACATCTAAATTGGAAGTTCAAAATTAAAACTTCTGTCAGCAAAAAGTATATTACATAAGGACAAAATGTCTGTTTCGTTTTAAAATCTATAAATATACTATTAAAAGAGCAAGAGTAATTCATGAAGTTCATAACCAAGAGATAAAATAAGGATATAAAAGAGAGAAAGACTGGATGGAAAGCACTAATTCAAAACCTTTTACAGTACTATTGATTTAGAATCTCCTTAACTTCTAGTTCTTTTGTCTTTGGTAATAATTATAGCCTTTGCTGGATTAAGAGGCTTTTTCGACTCGGCCGGTGTTGGAGGTTCAAATCTTCTGTGGTCATGAATAATTTGACTACTTGTTGACGGAGCAGTTTGTTGTACCTGTGGCATAGACTGTTGCAGGAGCTGTAGCTGCTGCTTAATTGCACTAATCTCCCCCGCATTAAAGGCCATTCTCTCAACTTCTTGTTTGAGTTTGGTAATGTCCCTTATCAGTGTTTTATTTTCTTCTTCTAGTGTACCTTGTAATAATGAGTTATGCTGAAGGGCATCTTGCAGGGATATAATCTGATCTTCTTGTGATGCTATACGCTGTAGGAGAGATGCTGATGGTTGCCCTGCCAAGGATAAAGCAGACTTGTAGGAGGCTATTGTATTCTTAAGTTGATCTAGAGCCTTACTCAACTGCTGAATTGTAGTGCAAGCATCTGTATTTTGCCGCTCCAGCTCAAGTACTCTCCTCGTAAGCTGGATACTCTGATTTAAAGCTCTGCTTCCTACAACACCAACTCCTGAGGGCATTCTGTCCAACAAACGATTGGCTTCTTCTTCAGAGAGGGTTGCTGCAGTTCGGATGGTCTTTTCATATTCTGCCTCCAGGGATTGATATCCTTTAAGGATGTTTTTCACTCTATTAAGTTCTTCAGTTACTGCCAGAACTTCCCTGTCTTTTGAGGACTTGTCTTCCTGTAGTGCCTTTCTAGCACTTTCTATATCTTGATGGAGCTTTGCATTTTCCTCGGCAAGAACATCACGACTCTTTGACAATGAACTAATGCTCTGCCTAAGTTCTTTGACCTCTGTATCAAGTTTGTCCACCTCTGTTTCATATCTTGCTTTATACTTCTCCAGTTCTACTGATAGGTAATCATTTTTCTGTGTGAGCTGGTTTATATCTTCTTGAAGACTGTTACAATGAGAATTACTTGACTGTAATTTCTCTCTTAATACTCGTATTTCATGCTGATAATCATTAGAATTTTCTGCAAGTGAAGTCACCTCCCCTCTCATTGAAATATACTTTTCATGCAAGTCGGCATTTCGGTCTCTTTCTATCCTAAGATTTTTACATGTTGAGCTGAGTTCTTCACTGGTTCTTTCTAACTTACTCTTCAGATCAGATATCTGTTCTTGCTGTTCATCTATATCGTGCTCTTGTTTTCTGGTCTTTACCTTAAGCTCACCAAAACGTTCCTCTAACAAGCTGCGTTCTTTCTTCAGTGTTGCGACTAGCAGTTCCAGTTCTGTCGATTTCCTTGTAAGAGTCTCCCTCTCCCCTTCTAACTGGTCCCTCTCACTTTTAACACGGTGATAGTTGCGAGCCTTGTAGTCATCTGACCTCTGCTCTTCTTTCAAATTAAGGAGCTGACTTGCATAGTGCTCTGACTTACTGCGCAGATCTTCTAGCTCTTGTTGTTGCTTTCGGCACTGATCGCTTCTTGCTTTTAGATCCAAATCCTTCGCTGCAAGGGAACTCTCCAAGGAAGACTTCACTGTTTCTAACTCATTAACTTTTATCTTCAAAGGCCAAACTAATTCATACACTCGCAGCTGTAAAGAGCCAAGAGGTACACATGATTAATCAGGTATCTTTCCTAACTGCTAAAGCCACCCTATTTTAGATACTGTGTAAGTTTACACATCAATCATAATAAATGTAAGTGTGAATTTGAATCTCATTTCCAGAACTGCCAATGAGTACTATCAGCAGACTCATTTCTCAGGTTGATTTATCACATATAAATATAGAAAGCCAATTCAGATCCTATACTCCTCTCGGAAAGTAGATATTTAATTCCTGCTAGTCATATTTTCCTTGTGTAAAATGTGGCTATGGGGAATGTTGGTTCAGAAGACAATGCTATTTTTAATGCCAAGTTTGATTCTGAAACCCAAGTCATCAAATAACTGATTAAACTTTTAAAGTGAGGCACTTGAGATGCACATTATAATATAATTATTGTCTACACTTTTAAGAACATCACAATGCTTATGGATATTCTTACTGCTGTAAACTGCTGGAGGGTAAGCTGCTGTGCTGAAACGCGTCGAAGCCGATTGTATTCACTTTCTGATATCTGGAGATTTGTGAGGGAACTACGTAATTCTTCATGCCGAAATGTTAATCTGCAAAGTATGATATTATTAAAAAAAGGTTTATTTTGATGCTATTATGCTTTTTCCAACTCAACAAATTTACTTTTTAAAAAATTAACATAAAAATTAAAAATAAATATATATCAATTCATCCAAAGTCAATATAATTTTATTTCTCACATGCATTATAGTGTAGGCAAGGTGAATAAATAAATAAATAAAGAGAAAGAAAGAAAGAAAGAAAGAAATACAAAATAAAATAAAAAGATGCAGATAGTTACTACATGCAATAACCTTTTCCTTTAATCATCCATTTCCAAAAGATCAACTAAACCACTAAAAGAGCAGAGGTTCTTATTCTATAAATATTATAGGGAGTAAATCTAATCTCCTTCCCACCCACTTCTTTTGAGTTTCTTGAAAAGTAGCACACTTTTGAGCCAGCTGCGCTAATTCTCTCGCTGCTCTCTCCTTGATTGTGCTTAGTTCCTCCCTTGTTCTGACCAACTCTGCTTCTAGCCTGTAAAAGGAAAGATAAAGAGAAGTGACAATGGCACAAACAATTCATTGTTATTGTTACTGAAATGTCAAATAAATTGTAATGCATTTAAATTTACTCCTGATCTATTCACCTATTAGCCTGGATCTGTTTGGCGCTAATGATGTCATCTTTCTGAGCAATGGCACTGGCAACAGCGGATTCATTTTGTGCCGTAATAGCTGCTATCTGAGCTTTCTTGTTCTGTAGCTCCAGTCTTTGCTTCTCCACAGTGCGCTGGAGTTCTGCTCTGTCTGAAGCCAGAGCCTGAAGCTCACGGGCATGTCTGAAATAATAAATTGGTTGCAACCACTCTGTCTTTTAGATCATAAAAATAAAACTTATAAAATGTACTTCAAAAATTATGCCTGAAATACATCACCATCACTTTTATGTCTGTATTCATACTTGCATAGGTCAAAGGACTTGAAATACGAAAATATTAAAAATCACCAATATTGGATCCTACTACTACA